AACAAGACAGGAAGCAGGGCTCTGTCACGACACCGCGAGCAGGGCTCGAGCAGCAGCTATCTGATGGCGTCCAGGAGAGAGACATTTCTCAGAGCACTCACTTATGAACCCAGGCTCTCCGAGGTGACTCCAGAGCCTCGTTGTGCAAACGACACAGAATTAGTTCACACTTCTTCCAACTCTGATTTTCTCCATGTGGATGGTGGTTTCTCTGGTTCTACCAGTTACTGTGAACAGGCAGGGTCTGAACAGCCTGGTCCTACCCAGACAGGAATAATCCTTTTGACATCAGGAATCCGAAAGTCTGCTTTGTTTTGGGATGTTCATCACACAGAGAACAGGCTGATATGACTAGAAGTACTACAGGCGCTTGCATTTGTGCCCAATAACCCTACACTTTTGGAAATTCACCTCCTTTGTCTTTATAACCATTCTGATTTGAAGGACCCGCAAAGGAAAAGAAACACATAATGAAGTGTTTCAAAGTAACAAAAAGCAAAGCTTGACAGAGGAATCGGCAGAGTTCAGCTCTCACATATAAAAAAACAAGTGAACAAAATTAAATAGAGCTTTTTATAGCATTTACTGGGTGACAGAACAGACTGATGCATATTCAGCAATAAAAACCTCAATCTGTGGGTAAGAGATCAACGAGAAGTTTTAAAAGCCATATTGTCAGAGTGCTGGCTATGGAGTATTTCACCTCAGCTGCTGGAAGAGAGGAAGGAATGGCCATGGAGATTCCCTACCACACACATTTGTGCATGCAGGATGGGAGAGCCTGAGCCAGAGTGCTGGGGAAAGAGCAGATCCTCTTCTTCAGTTCACTTTAGCCAGCCTGACATCACCATTTTCGGATGGTGCAAACATTAAAACATTCCACCAGTCAAAGCAGTAACTCCCAAGACAGAACAGCTGCCTACTTTGCTCCCAACATAACAATATGGTTTCTCTAGCACTGGGCATTATCTGTTAGATTTTCTCCCAGGTTACTAAGAACTTCTCCTTTAGAAGACCATGGCTAAACAATATGGACAGAAGCATTTCCCAGATGTTTGCTAGGCTGCTGCTCCACTTCAAAACAGGTGGGATTTTGTTGAGGAAGAGCCGTGAGCGTGCCTGGGAAAGCACCTTTCAGGGGGCAGGACAGGACAGGCTCAGGGAAGGTGAGCACAGCAAACAGCAAGCCCACCAGAGGCTGGGTGACCGCTGCTGAGAGCGGCAAGGAGACGCACAGCATGCCTCTGAGGCAACAGCCCAGACCTCTCCTGCAGTGAAAGAGAAGACTGGGTTGGTGGAAAGAAAAAAAAAAAAAAAAAAAAAAAAAAAGACTGAAAGGTTAAGAAAGCAAGTCTTGCTCACTGCAAGGACACAATAGAGAGTTTTCATAAATGCTTTCATTTCTGATCTCTAGAATAAAATCGAGTTGTCTATTTTAAGTAGCTACAGTTCTACTTGTTCTAATTAAACTTGGCCTCTCAGTTTAAAAGCTTTCTTCCCTCTCTCTAGAAGGTCCACAGCAAGGCGCATCTAAGACATCCTCATCCCCCAGTCATTGTTTTCCTCTCTTCTCATCAAAATCTGTTAATAAAGAAACCCAAAGAACAAATAAAGAAACAGAGAAATATGGAAGAATGCAACAGAAATCTGGAGACGCAGTTTAGTACAAGACTAGGGGGGGAAAGGAAGGCAAAAGAAGATGTGCTGCTCCAATTCTCAGTCAAGACAAATGATTTCCTTCGCTTCCAAAAAGTAATATTCTCTCAACTCCATCTGCTGGTCATAAGGATAACTGTGAAACCAAGCTGGTGTGTGGAAGCCAAACTTCACACACCGTACTCCTAACCCAGGCAGAAATTCTAGATTTACTGGTACGTCCACAGACACCATCCATCACCACCCTTGGAACACTCAGCATTGAGGACACAGTAAAGCTTCAGCCAGTTTGATGGAAGAGTCTAATTCCTGCACATGCCGGAGTCTGGGTGCTCTGAAAACCAGAGGCTCCTGGCTTCCGTAGAGGCTGCACGCCGCACAGCGTGCCAAAGCGCGGAGCATAGCTCACCTCGGCAGCCCAGGGATTTTGTGTGATCTCACTGCGGCAGAGCATTGCCAATCCCACATCGAACAATCGAAGCAGCACTGAGTCTCAAGAGCATGTCACCAAAACTTCCAGTGACATCAGAAGCAACATCTTTCGTTTGAAAGCAAGTCAGTCACTTAAGATTTCAAGCTGCCCATTGTCAAGGGCTAGGGCTGGGCCTGCCCCTGAATGACTGACAGATGCTCTCTAATCCCTCTTCGAAGGTGAACGGACAGGGAATAAGGCAGAGAGACTTCGAGACTGGAAGAGAAAACTAAAACAGCTTTAATAAAATAATATTAGTTTGTAAGGAGAGCTGATGTGTTCTGTAAAAGTCACTTAAAGCAACAGTTAATATGTTGTTTGGACCCACAGTTTGGAAAACAAACAAATCAATCCATTCGGCTGGCACAGAAAATTAATACCTTAATGCTGATCTTTTAATCATTTTAATACCGTAAGTTCGTTCCTCCTTTCCTAATTAAAGATATTAAATCAAATGTGTTTCTCAGGGTCTAACATAAGGTCATGCTCAGTCAAAGGGCTGGAAGATGCAATGAACCAATGCTTCTGAGCAGTTCTGCATTTGCAGGGTGGCAACAGAGAGCCCTAACCCTAACAGCTTTGCTGTTCTTAGGAGAGCTGTAGCCTCAATTCAGATTAAAAGAAATGCACTGCTGCAGCAGAGGGTTATCCTGGGCTGTGAGCACAAGGGTCATGCCTGGCAGGGGAAAACTCCTGGTTGGTGTTAGGGAGAGGGGTGCCACGCAAAATGATGCTTAGAATCACATGGGTTAAGAAACATACTTCTCTTCTGCAGGAGAAAGGCAAAAGATCGAAAAGAGTATTTAGAGAATGCTTTGCTTTTCATGACCAGTGGGGTCTTTTAACAGCTGCACCTTTCTATTTCTTCTTCTCTTATTTAGATATCCTTGGTGGTAACCAGTGTTTAAGGTCATGCTGGAATCTGGTTTCGTGGCTCAGACATACCACATATAACCAATGGTTTCATTCAGATGGGTTGGTCTCTCACATGGAACAGTATTTTGAGGCCTCTTAAGATAAGGATAGTGTAGGGGACTGGTTTAGCAAGATATGGGCTTCCAGCTACCTCACAAAACCCCCTTGAAGTGCTTTTAAAAAGATGTCTTTCACTTGCTGTAGTAGGCAGAGTCTGAACTGATCCTCCACAGGCTCATTTTTGGCAGAGGACAACATTACTCTATGCCCTTTTTTGCTTCACTCCCACCTCCTTCAGGAAAGCGGACAGGCCGTGTCTCGAGCAGGCCACACACGAGGCCAAACACATGACACCGAACTGCCGCCTCTGAGGTCCTAAAGCATCCTGGGACAGAGCAAATGGCCAAGGGATTGCAGCGAGAAAGCATGGCGCAATAGTTCCACTGCTGCTACTCTGCTCTGGGGAGCTGCCTCTGTCACAAGCAACTTTTCAGAAGCACCATCTGGGTCGTATTTTAGTTGCCCAGTATGAGACACTTCTGGGAGTTACGGGAGCACACACATCTAACCGATGCGACTGTTATTTTACCCTTATATAATGTGTTAACACTCAAAATGAGGAAGGCTTCAGCAAGGCAGAGCCTACAAACCTCAAGTTCAGAGTCAGCAGATTCTTCCAGTTTGTGCCTCACGTTTAAAACTGGGGCAACACATCTTCATCTCAGAGAGGCACTGTGGAAAATGAACTAATTCAAGGTATGTGTCTGCTCCCGTGATGACTGCCACGAAAAGACTGGATGAGTGAAATATATTACTACATACAGTCACCAAGGGCCACAGCTACACACTGAGCAGCAAAAAAAGAACAAAATGTTGACTGTATGTTCTTCCAAGGGGCATCATTCATATTGTACGCTGAAAAAAGTAAAGTCCCTGTGGAAGGAACAGCAAGCATGTGGCCATCTATGTTCTATTACCGAATAATTACATTGCCTTACCCACTGATGCCAAGTAAAGGTTAAAATTTAACAAGTCTGACATTTCCTTTTAAATTCTTGGCTTTGCAGTAACGATGTTTAGAGGGAAACTTCAGTTTTTAAAGACGAAAGTTCCACCCCCATCAGGACTGGAATCAAACCCTAAGCACCACGAGATCCATACGCAGGGTTGAGCCCTTTTGGCTCAACGGTACCGTTGTCTATCGCCTGAAACGGCCGTTACTCTCTGTATTGGCTCGAGGGAGAAAAAGATATATTGGACATACAAAGCTTTTGACACTCGAGAAACAAAAGAAAGATGATTTTGATTGTCCTCTCGGAAGGCAACTGACATTTCTGGCATTTTAAAGAAGCCACAATTCATAGTACTGGGACAGTAAGCTTCCCTTAGCATCCTCTGTCTTTTGCACACGATGGGAGAAAGGAAACAAAGTGTGGGGGTTTTTTCACTTCCTTCCCCACCACTAGACAGGCCTTGATGGCAAATGCCTTTCCTATTCCACCTGAATATTTGCCATTACATTCCATACCACTAAGTGAGTAAATTAACGTTTAAGGCTTCCCAAAACCTGACATTTAAACAAGTACAAGATAAGGCTTCAGAATGATCCAGTCCCAGAGATGAAAACAGCACTTTGGGCAGATTTGCAGGTTCAGGGTGATAATTCAGAATTATCAGGGTGATAATTCATTTGCTTCACACCTGATCCAAACTTTAAGTATTTTAAAACCAAAATCAGAACACTCACGCAGCAAAGTGTCCTTTACAAAAATCCTAGATGAGTACTAACAGTTTTATGAACATCGTCTTACAGTTAGGAAAAGGAGCTGGTGACTAGGATTAAGTAAGTGGCAAACGCCAGAATATATTAGAAGATTTCACAACGTGTCAAGGGTTAGGGCTGGGCTGAGATGCTCTCTATGAATCCCTCTCTCTTCCCAAAGGAGAAGGGAAAAGGAAATACAGCAGAGAGACTTATGGACTGGAAAAGAAAACCAAAACCGCTTTCATTAAACAAGAACAGTACTAATAAGAAAAACAATGAAAATAATGAAATACATACAACTATATACAAAGTCAGTATCGACCCAACCCCCCCAGGCAGCAATTCCCACTGGGGCTGCAGAGCAGGAGGCACCAGAAAGGCCCAGACTGTGCTCAGCACGGGGGGAACTGGATTGAGGAATTCACAGATTGGGATCGAGGGCAGGAGAATGACGGAGTCCTCCTCGGATGCTGGCCACGGAAGAAGAGGACTTAACTCCCGTGATCCCTCAGCTTTATACCGAACATGATGCGTACGGAATCAAACACTTTGCTGATCGGTTTTGGATCACCTGTCCTCTCTGCTCCTCCCCGGAGGTGGAACTTTTAACTTCTTTGCAACCCCCAACTTGGCACACAAGATTTATCAGTGACCTTGGTTATTACAGGAGCAAGTATAACCAAGGGCCTGTCTGCCTATTGACCCCTGGTAGAAACTATAAACATCAGGCGTTATCACTCCGGTGATAATGAACGCTCCGGAGTTTTGCAGACACTGTCTGCAAAAACATGCTGTTAACTTTGGAAAGTGCAATCTCAGAGGAGACCAAGCTGAAAAGTAAAACCACTGTAACAGAATTGGTTCTGTTTAGCTCAAAGCAGGACACCAAAAATTAGGAAGTGGTCCTCTAAAATCAAGAGTAAAGAGGAAGTTCATTACATCCTGTTCCCTCTCGTATACAGTCTTATTGGTAATATGCAGGCAGCAAACTCACAAATGGAAGGACAAGCGTTGGATGTGCCAAAAAAAATAGCTGGCTTTCTAGTTAAATATAAAAAAAATAAGCAATTTACATCTTATGGAAGGTTTTACAAGTTTCTATAGTAACTGCTATCATGTATAAGAATATAAAATGCAACAAGCTGGAGTTTCCATAGAAATGCCACAAGCAGTTTGATTAATACTCAGACACACCAAGACAAATGGCAATTTTTAATTTCACTTTGTAAAGAAAACTCTAGTAAACAGAACGCTACAAACTTGGGCAAGGTATCCTATGCTCACAAGCTTGCGAACTGTGAGTCGTGGAACGATATAAACTCAGAAGCATGTGGTGCGTTTATTACATTCGATTCAGAGGATACAAAAGGTAATATTTAGCTTCAGGAAGCTGATCACCTCTCTGACACATTTTAACTGACTTCAGAGTTTAAACTTACAAACAGCACTTCTAGAGAGAAGATATTTTCATGCGCTTTGGAACTAAATGTGCCAGATAAAATGAAAGTATGTAAAGCAATTGTTGTAAAGCGCTGCTATTGCTTAGAAAGTTCAATTACTGCAGAAAATCGTGCGCAAACTTCAGACACCGCAGAGCAGTAGTGAGGAACCGTGGGGTAACTCTGATGTTTAAATGACCACAGAGAAGCGGTCCAGAAGCATTGCAGAAGCCAAGGATTTTGAATCAAGACATAACGAGCGAGGGAAACAGGCAGCTACAACTCACCATATTTGGCACACTGGTGACGGGAGTACTCTTGATGTCGGCAGGAAAGGCAGACAAACTATTCGCCATGCCTGGCTTGTTCGGTAACTGAGGATTCACTCCTGTAGCTCCCATCTGCTGCCCTCCAGTTTGACTGAAAGGCTGCCCAAAGGGACTAGTGTTACCTGTCATTCCCATCTGGAAAAGAATGAACAAAATTATTATCATTTCCTTGATTCTGAAGGGACGCTAAAAAAAACAACCAAAAAAAAAAAGCACGTCAAATAACCATCTCTGCATTTACAGTGATCAAATTCTCGTTTAAGCTGCTCAATATTAAAATCCTGACTTTCACAACTTTAATCAAATGTAAATTAAACACTTTACAAATATTTTACAAGTTTACACAGCTGCATGTCTGAAGTCTTGCGATTCAACTTACAAAATCACTGTGCAAATACAAAGGAGAAAATAAGATTCTTTCCCCATATGCACCAACAGAAATTACTTTTCCCAACACTGCAAAATCTTCTGAAAACCAAAAAACAGTCTCCTGAGAGAAGTGGTGAAATCTCGATTACTTGAGTCAGATAATATCGCACTGCACAAAAGGTCCTGAAAAGTATTTTAGCAGGAATTTACTTCTTTCAAAGAGGATGACTGAGACTAGGATCATCCTTCCCCACTACAAATAAAGGAAAACAGAAAGTCAAGTCACGTTTGTGCTCCCTCCTGCTCCGCACTGGATTTCCAGATGACGTTATCATTCCAAATGTCTTAAAAAAAAGAAATCCAGCCACTGAGACAGTCTATATATGAAATATTAAATCCTGTTTTCCCCTTCCTTTGACCTCTCCAGCCCTTCCTTACGCTGCAAACTGTTTTTCCATGGTCCTGGTCTTTTCACTGCCCTTACCAGCAGGGATTCAAGACTATTCCCATGGCTGGGAGTGGGATCGTGCACGTCAGCTTTGTACAATACGGAATCGCTCAGTGGTTGGCTTTTCATGCTTACAGGAATCTGACTGAATGACCAGTTGATGAAGCACTAGTTAAGAGCAGTAAAATACAGCGGGGCAGAGTTCAACAAACAAGATTTGAATGTGCCTTGTCCCCTTTGTCAGTGTACTTTGTACACCTGGGTTTCAGACAGCTGGCCCAGCTGCGGTTGAAGTAGCTTTACGTCAGGAAGTACTCCCTTAACCCGCATCCCGCAGTGCTGCTGTTGCCAGATTCAGGCTTTTTTCCATGGCAGAAGATGTTATATATTTACAGACAGATCTGACCCACTACATACACACATGGCTTTAAAAAAAAAAAAAAAAAGCTGTTACTTGGCAATTTAAGAGGCTATAATGTTGTGCTGTGTTCTACAGTTGAATAATTCACATAGCATGTAAAACCAAAAATACCCAACTGCTCAACAGCATCGAAAACTTAGTAATATACACTACTTTTAAAGTGGTATTGGCTACTATTACGCTGCACAAGTATCAAGTATTTTACTTTCCATATTTCTACGTTTGTTTTGTAGGACTGTATGTTCAAAAAATTCATTTTTTCTTAATTGTTATTTACTACAACATGGATTTTGGCAGCTTTGTTTCTGAAGAATTAATGGCTGAGTATTTAATAACCTTACCTATTCCTCTCAAGCCACTATTTCAGACAAGGTATGAAAAAGGATATCTACAACTATTCACTAACATAACGATGGTCTATCAGAATTACAAGCGAGATCTGAGAAAGCAGCGCATGACTGAATACTTAAACCTTTCAGAGGCCAGAAACAGCTTGGTTGGCTCCGTTTCCCCTCTTGCCTAAATCTCCGACTACAATCCTCATTTTTCTGCGGAAGGACATGGCCCTTCTGGTCGTCTTTGACCTCGTGCGCAGGTTTGATGAAGTTTTTTTTAAAACTGAGTAACATTCCAGCAACCACCAACTTCCTCTGAGCCCCTACAGCCACCGCTGTGAAAGTGGGGAGCGCAAACTGGGCGACAGGAACAGCACGTGCGGGTGAACCCACCTCTGCCACGTCCTGGGCTCTACCTGCGGCCGACAGCACAAGCCAAATCCTCTGAGGATGAGCTGGAAAAAAAAAGCCCTCGGTGCAGAGAGCGATGCTGCGTGCGCAGCGTTCACGTTATAAGCCTCTGGCAGAATCTTAAACACAGCTGAATTTTCAAGAAGCAGGAGGAGAAATTTCCTTCAGGCAGCAAGGACGCTAAGCAAATTTTACAGTGGATTTCAGTTCTTGCTCCACAAGAAGCAGAGAGGTGTGTCCATCTCATCTCCTTATCAGGGAAGAGTAACTTTTTTCGTCAAAGGAAAAATATTTAAAAATAGATTTTAAGGGAAAATATTACAAATATTTTGGTCTCAAAAGACAACGAACAGGAAATTTCATTTTAAGTTTGTTAAAATTCTAAACCACTAGAACATCCCAAAAGCACCATGGAACTGCAACCTTAACAGGTACCGCATGTCTGGTTTATCACATTTTGTTTTATTTTCAATAGAACTTGCTGCTGAAGACATCACAACTCAGTACAACACTAAAACAACCTTTCAAGTCTTCCAAACCGAGTGCTTAAGATAATTTTTCCCTTCCTAGGAGGTCATTAAGTAACAGACACTTGATGGAAATTTTAAGAAAGGCCTTGCTGTTCTTCAAACTCAAGCAGGAAGCAGAGTAGTTTCCATCTGAAACCTTCGACTTTTCCAAGCCTGCTCTCTCTGCCCAATGGTATTTCAATGTCTAAAGCTGTGCTTCAGTAAATGAAAGGAACCAAAGGCTAAGAGTTTCACCAGCCTACAACTTTAAACAAACAAACAAAAAGCAGATAGTTTGATAACTCTGTGAACGTTAGTCATGCCCTTTAACCTACACTTCATTTTTGTAAATGGCTGCAACTAAAACAAACTGCCAAGCACTTTTGTTTGAAGTCCATCTTTCAAATAAATAAATTAATCTAAAGATAGGTGGGCAGACCTATCTTTAAGTGACAACCTCCGAATATGGAGACAAAAATCAGGAAAGACTGAACCCAAGATGAGTTTATTAAAGCTCAGATATCTGTAGTCTCAGGGGCTTTTTAAATGGAGTTTTGTCTCAGAGGAGTTAATTTTATTAACAGCACTGTGATTTCCAGAGACTGCAAGTGCACCACGCAAAGCAAGAACTGCTCTAATGAACTCTTATCTAGTTATAACAGTTTCCAACCAAGGCTGGGATCGACAAGGAGTTTTAGTGGCAAAACCACCTGCTGCCAAAGAGCATTAAGATCAACATCCCTGGTAACCTGAGGAGCAGCTCAGCATTTAGTCCAGCAGCAACCATGTCCAGCAAAGGCTGTCACGTAGGGACTCCAGCAAAGCAAACCACCGCCAGCTCCTCACCGCTGGGGAGGCAACAAATAGAGGTGGAAGAAAAGGAAAAATGAGGCAGATCCCCTCATGTCAAACCCTGAAACACATCTGAGCACGTAAGGCATCAACTAGCGTTTCCCAGTTCCTTATCTGAACACTGAGATCAGGTGACCTTCCTTTATCTAAACCACCACTACTTGAAATCTCAAAAACCAACTGGCAAATATAATCAGATGATTATGCTGTAAAGATTTTTACACTGCTTATTCATTCTGCAAACTGAAACCAGCAGCTCCAAAGCAAGCGAGTCAGAAGGCTCAAACGCTGAAAGCTCCGGCCTCTGCCCCCAGGCTTTTTCCCATGTGAAATGAGGGGGCAGGTGGGGGAAAGCAGATGCTCAGAAGACTTTTGTTTTTATATTTCTGAAACAGAAGTCTGATCCCAAATTAGGTAGGTCAAGGAAAGACTACTAGGTAATTACCAGTCATCAAAAATAAGCCAGCAAGAACATGGGAGTTAGCAACCTGGTAAGAACGGCTGTTCTCACGCAGGACTCAGAGCCATCACAAAGACTTGTATTTTGCTTAGATTTTGTGAACTTTACTTTCCTGAAAGGAAAAAAAAAAGCAAAGCAATCCAATGTGAATTGTTTCTTTTTTCACCTGCAAAGAATGGTCACTGCACGTGTACCACAGGGCTACTCAAGCTTCAACACATCAGCATGGCAGACAGTGCATTTCCATTACAGCAACAGCGAAAACTTCTCTCCTGCTCCCTGCTCCTCCTCCATCAGTGCCTGCAACAGCCCGTCCATCTCCTTTCTCCACCCAACACGACCAGCACTTTCTGCAGGCCCTGCTCTCTGCACCCCAGCCCCGGGCAGCCCCTTTCATCCCACCTCATCCTCTGGCAACTCACCTTTTATACGTGTGTTCCTGCCTTACAATTTTGTGCAACTCCTGCTTCCTGCCCGGTTCTTTGCGGTCACAATTGCTGTGACTTCTGACGGCGCAGAGCAAACGTTTTCACAAGGCAGGTGTCTTCTAGTTTGCTGTGCTATCCAGGGGTGCCACAAACCACCCCGGCACAGAACCACAAGTCACGGCTAGAAGTGCCTCCAGAAGTAACGTGATTAATGCAGGACACAGTTTAAACACATTATTTCTGCTCTAAAGCAGTTCTGCTCAGAAATATGATAATGCTCCTCTTTCCGTTAATGGAATAGATGCATTTAATTTAATAATTCTGCAATCCCAGAAAGACAAGCAGATTCTGTTCCCTTTTTTATCACTATGGCAACTCTCTAAGATACTGGAATCTATTACCCAGCGTGGCTAGGAAATAGGGTATTTCACTCTGCTCTCACATGCCAAGGAATGTACAAACTTCCAAGCTGAAAAAAAAAAACAACTTAAAACCTTTGTTTAACTGACTTGGGCTACATGAGACATCTCACACTGCAGTGTTTTGAGTAGCAGGTGTGGGAGGTACAAAATTCTCTCTGGTTGACTTTTTAGTTCTTTTCAGAGCAGAACAGCAATTCAATTTCCTCTAGTTCCTGGGGTTTCATAGATACTATTGATTAAGTCTGTGACCAAATCTATATACCTCATCTGATGAGGCAACTCAGAGTTGGTACGACAGAAATGAGAAGTTCACCAATCTAATTTAAAAGATACCTTAGGACCAGACTGGATCTCCATACTCTGCCATTCCTCCTATTTTTAAAGCTCACTCTTTTCCACCCTTCTGTATCGCTGCTGTCCCACCACACTACTACTGCCTCTAGCCCAGCATCATTGAGCTACTCCCTCTGAGTACACAAA